AACTGGGTTAATACTGTATGAAGGGAAGCATCATGGTCAGAATAAGGTGATCCATGAACCAGGATGTCACGACCACTCCAAGAAGGCCTGCCTCTTTGGAAACAGCTGGGGCCTAAAGATAGACCAAAAGGAATCCTTTTAAACTGTAAGGGCCATATGGGTGAGAAAAGCTTTGAGGTTCCACAACTAAGGAGAAAATGGTATCTGGAGATATCTCTGGCATAGATCCAATTTAGTGAACATAGCTGAACCCTGACATTGCACTGCCAATTCCTCCATAGTTGGTCGAGGATAGCAGTCAGGTATGACTGCCTTGTTCACTTGGTGCCAATCCACACATAAGCATATTCCCACTTCTTGTTGAAGAAAAAAAAAAAAACCAAAAATGTTGACAGCCATGGAGAAGTGCCCTCCTTAAGCAAGCAAGAAATCCCTGTGGCTACAGCATCCTTTAACACCAGGTGAGGTCTGCAGAATGGTTGTATAATTGGGCTGGCCAGTGGATCCACTCATAGATGATCCACAGCCAAGACCAGAGGAGACCTCCAATCATTCCCCCAAAATCGATTTCTATGTTCTGTGAGTCTAACACCTTAAAGCCCAGTGCCTGGAAAAAATCCAGCCTGAGAAGGTTGGCCCCAGAATGGGCCATGTAAAATGGGAACACTCCCACTTCTCATTGATATTACATCACAGGGAGATTCACCATCCCTAGCAAAGCGATTTTTGCATTGCCATATTCAGATAGCATAGATTACACTGGCCGCAAGGTAAAATAGGCAAAGTATCTATGGTGTGTGGTATCATTTATTAGTAAGACTCCAAGTTCCAGCAGCAGCAGCTCCACAGTCGCTAAATGGCAGGGGCAGATTTTAAGATACTCCCAGTCCCGTGTCACCAAGTTGATCCCCTCAGGCATTAAATCTTCCTCCATCTCCTGGTCATCCATATAGGTGATGGCTGGGAAAGAGCAACACCTTCTGGCAAAACGGTTAAGTTTTCCACATCAGTGGCATATTTGTCCCTGGGCTGGACACTCCCACAGCTCCGACAGTGCCAGGAGTTGCTGCAGCAAGGACCCATGCTAGCACTCTGCTCCTGAGTCCCACCAACGATCGGGGCACTGCCCTATAACTCCCACATGGTTACCTGAACCTCTATCAATTCACTGTACCACGGTGGCTGCAGCACTGGATGGTGTGAATAATGCCCCAGAAGAAGAACCTGGAGGGGTTTCGGTCTGGGCTGCAAGTTAAAATTGACAGCGAATCTGGTCCCATCAGGAGGCACTTCCACAACATAGGGATAAAATCCAGCCCTTAAACTGATCCTGAATCATCTCATCAGTTAGGGATGCAAACCTGCATATAACTGCCAGTTCTAGACTGATGCCCTGGGGAGCTGTGCTCTCTGATGAAACTGAATGCATTCAAGCATAGCGCTGGGTGCAGGGTGACAGTGTACCACTAGGGCCCTTACCACTTCCTGATATGATGTGCTGATCTCCAGAGTGCAAAAGATCTGAAAGTCTCTCCGGTACCTAATACGTGAAGTAGGAGTGTGTGCCAGCAAGATTCGGGTGCCATTTCCAGACCAGCTGCCATGAAGCACACATTGACTGCTGCGATTCATTTGGTACATGGCAAAGGTGAATCCCCTGGTAGCATCAGGTACAGGGCTGGAGCAGTCACAGAAACAGGGAATTGCACAGTAGCTGGAGGCATACTTGGGTCGAACATCCTCATTACTACTGTGATATTCCAAAATCTTGAAGACCACTCAAGTTTAAATGCAAACAAGAACAAACTTTTATTCCAGGAGTCTTACGGGCACCCCCTCTCTAGGTTTCTCCATGACCCTCTGGGGGTCAACTTCTTCACCCTCGGGGTTCCACTTCCTGGTTTCTTACGGAAGCCACGCCTCATAAGTAGCCGTTCCCAAATACTACCTTTCACAAAAGTAAATTATTACATAATAATTAATAAATTATTATTAGGTCTTGATCCTGCTCCCACTGAAGTCAATGACAGACTTCTCACTTAGTTCAACGACAGTAGGACCAAGATGAGTGTTGGCTTGTTTTAATGAGTATCTCCATTTTAATATTACAAGTGCTCCATAATACATTGATTAATGCCACACTAACGGCCTAAACCTGCACTCATGAATATCACTGGGAGCTTTCAGAGTAGCAGCCGTGTTAGTCTGTATTCGCAAAAAGAAAAGGAGTACTTGTGGCACCTGAGAGACTAACCAATTTATTTGAGCATAAGCTGTATGCATCCGATGAAGTGAGCTGTAGCTCACGAAAGCTTATGCTCAAATAAATTGGTTAGTCTCTAAGGTGCCACAAGTACTCCTTTTCTTTTTACTGGGAGCTTTGCAATTGGCTTCAAAGAGAGAAGCACTGAAACACAAATATATTTTCCAGTGCTAGCTAACAGCTCTGCAGGAAGCTGTTATGTTACATCTGGCTAACAGCATACATTTCAGAAGGTGGATTATTGGCCCTATCTACAATGAAGGATTATGAAAATTAGTTGCTTTTCTGATGAGTAACTATGTATTTATAAAATAGATTTTTTGAAATTATTTTTTAAACTACTTGAGAAAGGAAAATAAATATGAAAAGCTAATTAAAGGTTGCATTATAAGTGACAAAAAAATAAGGCAATTCAAAGCTCAGGCTTAAATTCTCTGCGTAGTTAACTTTTCTTCCAGCCTGAACTAGCCCTGCTGTGCTTACATATTGCAGCTCATATGGCACCATACACAACATCATGCTCTTACCTCAAGTCCCTTCAGTACAACGGGGTAACTGTAAGGATGGAGAGGCAAGACCAGAAGCCAGTTCTTGTACATTACTGAGAGAGTAAAGAGTACTTTGTTTTACTTAATTTATTATATTCTTGTTCAACATCTAAATCAAAACTGGGAAGGCTTTGATTTCCAGATACACCTTCACTTGTCACACAAGTCAATAAAGCAGCACAAAAGAATGATTCTAAAGACAACAATTCAACAAAGGCTGTGGTCATTTTTCAAAATGAACATTTCTTCCCAGGTAATGAAAACAGCTGAACATTTCACAAACCACAAATCCAGACAGCAAATGCTAACACCTTAGCTCATACTGGGAAAATGAAATGCTTGTGAGAGGTGATATGAGTTTTGTAGGTCCCAGCTTTCCAGGGTGACCAAATGTTTTATTAACCTTTAGCATACAGATATTCCCTGTGTGGAATGTAATAATTGCTACTCTTCATGTGTCCTTTTGAACATCTTGTAATCATTACAGAGGAAGATTCTGCCAAGAATATGTAGGTGTTTGCAAATGGAACCGTTCTTTTGTTCTTCGCAGATAAAGTGAATATCATCTTTCTTGACATGGCATACTAATCTACCCAGAAATGAGCACACATGAGCAACCTGCTTTATTCAATGATCTCTTTATCCACTCAAGGACAGCTATGTTAAACAGAAGTAACCGAATGTCCATAGCAAGTAAATATTTACTTTGGAAGAACATGACCCTTTGATATATATGTTTCATATTAACTTTTTTAAAAAAAATCTGTTTGGACTGATGCAATCCATGACACAGCCTTAGATGAAAACAGTGAGTTTCAATTTTATTCTTATTACTTTCTTCACCTGAGTCCTAATTTTAGATTACACTTTGAATATTATTGCTTAGATTTATGATTGAATACATTGCTACATCAATAGGAGTGTATGAAATTAGAATAGAAATTAGTAAAATAAAATGTGGCAATTATAGCCCCTTATTTTAAGCCCCTTTACAAACATGTACTAATTGATATTGACTAGTGTTCAGATGTAATATACACATTTAAAACCATAACATGCAGCTATCATAAGGTGCATTGTACAATGAAATACAAAGCTTCAGCACAGTCAAGGTCCCCAGCAACTGATTACAAGAACCAATCCTGCCACCCAGTGTAATCTATATACAATTATATAGTTAGCATAGATAGAGTAATTTACGTTAGCCTTTTTTTAAAAAATCAAAATTCTTCTACTAAGAAAAGCCTGTGAGGTTTACACAGAATTTTAGTTCAAGATAGACAAACTCCTCATTAGAGCAGTTTGTTTCCTGGCACGTGGGGGAAAACCGCTATGTAACCTCAGTTTTTCCCCCAATAACACTAAGAACTTTTAAAGATTTAATATCAAAGACTTAAGATGCCAGAATGGCAGAGGTTCTGAGTATGTCAAGAATTAACAGACAGGCAATTACAAAGAGCTTATTGAGAATATACAAGACTTGTCATTTGGGCTCAGAAGTTAAAGGCTAAGACTGAGTTTTTACTAAACTTGCTCAAGATCTATTACATTAATCCCTGCCTAATGTATTCTTTTCTACAAGCAAATTCCGGGACTTGACACATTTCACAACCTAAGAGCTGACGGTCTCCCATCAGACCTGCGATCGGTCCGCGTGACAGTTTAGAAGCAGGTTACGGCCAGGACTAGGCAGCAAAGGGGGGTAAGGGGTGGTTTACATTTTCAACACACTTCAGTCTCAAACGATGCCCACAGCGAGCCCCGCACAACCGAGGGGAGGGCTGCTGAAGAACATGCCCGATGAAATTTCGCCTCCTAGTGCCAACGTGGAGGCATGTTGCTGGGCTGCCCACCAGCTAGACAGTCGGTATCGATGGCATGAGCTTGAGGGCCAGTGAGACGAGCAGGCAAGGAGAGGAAATCAACTCCAAAGCGCCTCCACCTCTGGTGTCTCCCCCGGCCGGGCGAGCCTGGAGAGAGCAGCAGGAGCCCAAGCATCTCCCCGCGGCAAGCTGGACGGGACCCCCTCTCTTCCCTCCCCATGCCCGCCAGGCTGCGTGGCTGGCCAGCGGCAGCCCCTCCTGCCCCACGCGCGCTCCAGCTGCAGCCCCCTGCGCGGGGCGCGAGCCGGCGGCTGCCCGGCGCGGGGCGCAGGCTGCGGTGGGGTGGCCCCGCTTGCCCAGCGTTACCTTTCGAAGACCAGGCGGATCATGAAGATGCAGAAGGCCAGAGGGAAGGCGAGGTACAGATCCTCAGCCTGGGGGAAGGAGGCTTCCTCCGTGTTCTTCAGATCCGCCCAGGTGACATTGTGCGGCAGCCAGAACCGCTCGTTCCAGAACCAGGCTAGGACCCCTGCCATCTTTGCTTTGTCTCGCTCCGAGCCCCCCTCGCTCTGCCGCTGCCGGGGGGGCGGGGAGGGGAGGGGAGGGGGCGCGGCTGCTCAGGAAGAGGATGCGCGTCTGTGTGCGAGCCCCGCTGCGGAGCAGCCGCCGTGAGCCTTCCCTCGCGTTACTCGCAGCAGCTGCGCCCCGACGCCCAGCTCCCCAGCCCGGGCTGCGCGGCGCTGGCTTGGGCCGCCTCGTCTGTCACAAGGCTGCTCGGGCCTCGCGCCCTGATTGGCTCCCGCCCACGTCAGCCAGCGGCTGGAGGCAGCCAAGGTGGTGCTGCTGCTCCCACGGCGGGAGAGACAGAGCAGCCCCCTTCCCGCTCCGCCCTGCCGGGGCTCCTGCGTGGCGGGGGCTCGGCAGCATCTCCCCGCCTCGGCTCGTCCCCAGTGCGCACAGGCTGGCCCGAGTCCAGCCGCCGCAGCCATGCAGCTGCTCCTCCCGCTCACCCGCTTCCAGGCTGCAAATTGCAGAGGCAACGTGGCTCTTTCCTTCCACGGCGCGGCTGGAGCCGGCCGAAACTTTCCTCACGGCACCCAAACCGGGGGCGTTCCGGTGGTAGGTTTGGGTGCAGGCTGGATACACGAGCTGAGTCCACTGAAGGGGCCACGAACCTCCCAGCAAATCCCCAACCAGGTTGGGAGGGAGCCCAGGCTGCCTTTCAGCCCCACATTATGCTGACTCAGCACATCCTGGCCTCAGCAGCGTCCATCAGGGGGCGCTTAGCTAGTGCTTGCCCAACGCCAACAGTGGTAAAGCTAGCAGGGTCAACGTTGAGTTGAGGTACCCCACTTGAGCCCCTTGGCCTAATACTTAGACACCTGAGCCTTGCATGTAGGTAGTTAAGTCCCAGGTTTAGCTCTGCTGAAATCCACAAAACTCCCGCCAAACCTTGTAGGCCTCTAAACTTGCTTGGTGCCTAAGTTTTCAGGATAAAAGTTCCCTCAACAACTAAGTTTACGCCTCTGGACATACCCACTGCTGCCTCCCCCTAGGTGTCTGCATGTCTAGTTCCTGCTTAAACCACAGAGCGATTTGCAAACAGGAGCAGGACAGGAAGGGAGGGATAGCTCAGTGGTTTGAGCATTGGCCTGTTAAACCTCAGGTTGTGAGCTCAATCCTTGAGGGGGCCATCTAGGGATCTGGCCCAAAAATTGGAAATTGCCCCTATTTTCAGCAGGGGGTTGGACTAGATGACCTCCTAAGGTCCCTTTCAACCCTGATATTCTATGACTTCAGGGGCATCGCTGGGCATGCTCAGAGGCCACTGGCAGGATTGGGTCCCCTTCAAAGTCTGTCCCAATGAAAATTCTCTCTCTCTGGCCCACTGATTGAGTCAGGAAGAGAGGGAGTGAGAATGGCACCCAGCTGGAACATGGGGGACCACACGTCCAGTCCCCCTGTTCAATCATCTTTTTCATTATTTAGCCACAGTGGAACAGCTTCAACAGGAGAGACTGAGGAAACCCCACATTAGAACAGGTCATAGCTCCCTGGTTAGAGCACTCACCTGGAAGATCTAGGATACCTTGTTCTGGGAGAGGGGGAATTGAACTTGTGTCTCCCACCTCCCAGGAGAGTGCTGTAGTGAGCTAAAAGTTACAAGGTGGGCAGCAGTGGCAGCACCTTCTCGGGCCATTTTGGGTGTAGTAAGGCAGGTGCCTAACTCATTCCCACAAGAAACATCTTAGGTGCCTAAGCGGCCTGGTTCCAGGAGACAGGTTTTTGTTTGTGGATCATAGAGTCATAAATTCCAAGGCCCCAAGGGACCATTGTGATCATCTAGTTTGAACTCCTCTATAACACAGGCCATAAAACTTCCCCAAAATAATTCCTGGAGAATTTCTTTTAGAAAAACATCCAATCTTGATTTTAAAATTGTCAGTGATGGAGAATTCGCCACAACGCTTGGCAAATTGTTCCTGTACTTAATTACTCTCACCCTTAAGACTTTATGTCTTATTTCCAGTCTGAATTTGTCTAGCTTCATCTTCCAGACTTTTGATGGTGTTATACCTTTCTCTGCTAGATTGATGAGCCCATTATTAAATGTTTGTTCCCCATATAGACACATATAGACTGCAATCAAGTCACCCCTTAACCTTCTCTTTGTTAAACTAAATAGATTGAGCTCCTTGACTCTTTCACTAGAAGGCATGTTTCACCATTCTTGTGACTCTTCTCTGAACCCTCTTCAATTTATCAACATCCTTCTTGAATTGTGAGCACCAGGACTGAACACAGTATTCCAGCAGCAGTTACACCAGTGCCAAATACAGAGGTAAAATAATCTCTGTACTCCTACTCAAGATGCCCCTGTTTATGCATCCCAAGACCACATTTGCTCTTTTGGCCACAACGCCGCACTGGCAGCTCATGTTCAGCTGATTATTCACCACGATTCCCAAAACTTTTTCAAAGTCACTGCTTCCCAACATAGAGACCCCCATCCTGTAAATACAGTCACTGTTCTTTGTTCCCAGATGTATACATTTACCCATTTTAAAATGCATATTGTTTTCTTGCACCCACTTTATCAAGCAATCCAAATCACTCTGAATCAGTGACCAGTCCTCTTCATTATTTATCACTACCCCAATTTTTGTGTCATCTGCAAACTTTATCACAAAGCAGAGAGAGGCAGTGCCGCTCTCTGTGAAAGGGGAGGACACACCCCTGTCCTCAGCATTTCCCATTGACTATCTTAAGGGCGTGGGGGAATCTGACAAAGTCTTGCTTTCCAACTGATATTTGGGATGAAGCTGGAGCTGGAGGAGGTAACAATGTCATTTGCCTTCCTCTCTTTGGCTTGGTCTGGTCAGGACATCTTTCAGGATTAGGATGAAGGGGACAGTGAAGGCGGCAGCTGTGACAGAGAGGTGTATCTACACTACATCTGATACACCTCTTCCATGGTATTTGTCCATAAAGGTAGCATGTCACATCTCTGCTGAAAGCTTGTAACTTTCCACTCCATGGCTAGCTAATTATGTAAGGTATTGCTCAATTGTCTACCCTTGCACCAACCCAGAAAAGTTAATGGAAATTGAGCAACATATCAACAGAAACATCAAAACTACTTGGAAGTGAAAAGGAACAATGAGACAGTGAAAGGATCACCCTGTCTGTGAATAACGAAGAAAGACTGACTCAGGTAACTATTAATATGTGTAGGCCGTAGTTCACATTTTATGATTTTGTTTTGTATGGAAGGCCAGCTCTACACTACAGACCTATATCTGTATAACTACATCACTGAGGGGTGTGAAAAATCCACACCCCTGAGCGACGTAGTTATATTTACTTAACCCCCCATGTAAGCAGCACTATGTTGACCAGAGAACTTGTCCGGTCAAACTTGCTACTGTCTCTCAGGGAGGTGGATTAAATACACCACTGGGAGAAGTTCTCCCGTCGTGCATAGTAGCATCTTCACTAAAGCGCTACAGCAGCACCAGTGCAGCTGGTGAAGACAAAGCCTAACCATTTGTTTCCATCACTCACACTTGTTTCTGTTGGAATCTCTAGTCTTTTGTAAATTAATTACCCGTTCTTTTACTGCAATTGAACTCGAGGGCTGTGTGTTATCCAGGAATGGTAGCATAAGACAAAACTGGTAAACTGTGGTGCACTGTTCCTTTGGGAATGGAGGACCTGGGATTTCTGATCGAGTGATCAGAGGCTAGCCACTGCAGGGGGGCACTTTGAAGGGACTGGAGGGCTAGGGTGCATCTATGGTCAATATGCGGGGAAAGGCAGGGCTGGCAGGAGGAGGAGAGTGCTCAAGTGGCTGGCAGGCTGGTGGTGTCATGGAGCTGACATTCAGCTGGCATAGACTGCTGGAGGCGGGTGGTACTCCAGGTGACACACAGGCCTGGGTACCCCGAGAAGCATCACAGCCACTATGCTGGTGAAGCTCACTCCAGTAACCATTCTCTCCCCCAAGTCTCTTTCTTTAAAGACCCCACAAAGAGAGGGATGGGTGGATTAGCTCATCCCCTCATTACTTTGTTTACCAATTAGGGCTAATTTTTGACATCCCAGTTTTGTTTCACTGATTTCCAATTTTACACTATTCTGGTTTGCCTGGCATGATTTTAGCACAGTCCTTGAGTTACAACAGTAGGCCTTTCTGTTGGAAGAAATTGAGTTGGTTTGTTTTGATTTTCCCATCAGCATTTGTTGTTTTAGGTTATTGTGACATTTTATGACCATTTACTTACTTTTTACAGTTGAGCTCACAATTACGGTACATTTGCAGGCCCCTGATCACAAGAGCAGCCATGTTTTAATACAACCCATAACAAGGTTTAACCCAGCTCATAGCAATATAAAGACACCTTTCTGAAGTTACCTGCTACACTGAACAGGTTTTGCCCATTCTAGGCTCCAGCATTTCCTCCCACAATTAGCCCACGTGCGGGAAGAGACTGGAAATGCCAGTGAGCGCCTCACACTGCACATCTGCTTCAAGATGGGCTATTGCTGAAGTATCTCACTCCCACTGGTCTTTGGAAAATATGCCACTAGATTTAATGAAGGAGATGAAAGAAACACATCTTGACTTTTTACAAGCTATCACATAAACAGCTGGAATAACTGTCACTGCAGTGGCCATATTAATAATAATTCATAATACTACTGTAAAACATTGCACTCAAACATCTCAAAAACAGTCTTATGGAGGTGCATAAATGGGAGCTGGGCTCTTTTGAAAATCAGGCCTGAATTGTGGGTGCAGAGCTCTTCTGAAGCTTAGAGCTTATCTACACAGCACTGCAATGCGCACAACAGGGTATGATTTCTAAAGCACACAAATGCGTTGCACACTAATTGGTCCACATGGATCCTACTGGTGCACACTAAACAATCCCCAGTGTGTGAAACAGTACTACATTAATGTGCACTATGGAACTTTTACTGTGCCCAGTAGGGTCTATCTGGACCAAATAGCACACATGTAAGTGAGCTTTAGAAATTACACCCTGTCTACACAGTGCAGAAATATGCATGACAAGCCCTATGCAATTACGCCTCTCATATCAATGCTGAGAATTATCCCCAGTTTACATAATTGGGAGGCATGGAGATATATGTAAATGAAAGAAGAGCCTTCCAATGTTATGTAGCAACAATGATCATAAATGAGTTTTTAATTTCTCTTATACAATCAGTATAATTTATTTTTGTGTCAAAATAAAATTACTCTTAGACAGACATATAAGTGTATTTGGATGGGAAGGACATTT